TTTGAGATTAGGATATTTTACTGAATGTAGAATGTACCTCAATTAAAAGTTTTTAAAAATTCAGTAAGCACAATGTCTGTTAAAGTAAAGCCATATCTTCTGATGGTTGTATTAATAAACTTGAGGTCATTGCTTATATGGTTATCCAGCCCATGTCTGGAGTCAGTCCCAGATCTGGGTTTTATTCCTGACTTTGTCAGCCTCTGTTTCTTGAGGCGTGATCTTGGGCTAAGTGCCCGACTCCAACCTTGGTGACAATGTAGACCACGTTGACAGAATGTTAATGTCAGTGTTCTAGGGAAGTAGTGGAACACGTTAAGATGCCTTGGACGTCTGGTTAAAAAAAATAGAGTGCATATGTTAAAATGATGTATAACTCTAATATATGAGAAAAGGTCATTCTATTTAAATTAAAAATGAAAAAGAAAAGGAGTAAAGAATAAGACATAGGAACTAGACACATACTATTGTCTGTATATATATATAAAAGCAAAACATATTAACATTTCTCCATCTGTAGTATTCAGAGGAAAGAATAACTTTTAAAAAGTATCACATAATAAAGACTTTAAAGTGAAAAATAGTTAAGCAAAATGAGTTATTTTAATCATTTTGGAGGCTTTTAAAACTATTCTTAACTATTTTCTAAAGCACATATTGATTTCCATTTTCTAATTTTTTTTCTTATTGTCAGATAACATATTCTATGATCTGAGAAGCTTTTTGTGCAAAAGATTTTCACTGTTCTGGTTTGTGCACAAGTGGTTAGAGCCTATTTTTCCTATTGACTTACCACTCAAAGGAATCTTATAAGAATCTGTGCTTATTATGACCCATTGTCTATAAGCCATACATCTGTCAGACCTCTTCCTCAGATAAAGGGCTGTTGACTCTAAATTAACCTAAATTTCAAGACAGTGGGATTGCTTGCTGGTAAGGGATGATGAGATTATTCAGGCGTAATGAGAAAAGAAAGTTGAGGCTGACTTCTTTGTTAATTACCTAATCTTTGGTATGAGGATCTCTATTTGGATAATTTATTTTAGTTTTGCTATTGTTATTTTATTCTGCAGTAGAGTCTAAGTTATCACAATCTTAGTGCTTAACTGAAACAATGGTGGTGGTGATGAACTTGTACTTGTTAGAGTACATGATGATATAGTGGACTTTAGGAGGGAAAATGTATTAATTTCCACTGATCACCACTAAGGGTGTGTATCAGTGTCCTATAACGCATGTTTGCCTTACCATTAAAACCAAGTTAAGTCAGGAAATTTGAAGAAATTGGCTAGTACAGATTTGAGTAGCACTGTGGGCACCAGGGATGACTCTGTTTTATTGGTCTAGAGCAGAAAATTAATTGGTCTCCCACCACAGATCTTCTTGATAGAATTCCCAGTTCCCAATAAAATATGACTTTAGGAGTGGGGTGATATACAGACAAGCTGGCAATGTAGAATGGATTGAATAGGCACTTATAAACTAGACAAGATGTGTTCTGACATAATCACATCTGATCAGTGGCCCTGTGATATTACAACCGGAAAGGTGTAGCTGGGCACATCTGAGAGCTCTGGTTAGACTCAAGATATATACAGTTTTTGTGTTTCTGTTCATGAGAGGATTTTAAATAAGACATATTGTTTAACGATCTTGATAAGACTAAATAATGATTATACTACTATGCCCAGAGATTTAATAGAAAAGCAAGTATTACTGGACCCCAGCATTTAAAATAAGTGGAATAATCTGTACTCATCTCAGAAAGCATTTCTATTCCAAATATTCTCTGAACACATTAGAGTAAAATGAAATTATATCTGTGTAGGCTGTGTAGGAACCCATTTGTGAACCTCGGTCATCTGCGCGTCTTTTTTTGCCCTTGCTCCTGAATGCACTCTTAAAAAACTGACTTTGTTTATCTAGGTTATTCTACCTACCTATTGTAGGTGTTATAGCAAGTTCCCAACTTAACATTTGATTTTTCTGGTGTTTAAAATTATAACTTTCAAGTTCCAATTTTTATTTCTATTCCCTTCTCTGAATGTGGTTGTATACTTACAGTTTTTGGGTTTTTTTTCTACACAGTGGTGATTATTTACCTGTTTTCTTTTCCCTAAGATGTGTGCAAAAATTGTTGGTTGGTAATCAAAGTAATACAGAGAGATCTGATCGGGTCACTGGGGAGTAGTCGCAAGGGGCTATAGGAGGAGGTTGCGCGAGGCGAAGGTAAACAGCCTGGGGCGGGATTGGTTGAGAAGCTGAACATCTGCAGAGTGCATGGAATTATGGGCCAGAACATTTAAAATAAAAAGAGGGCGGAGGCTTGCTCTCAGTCTCTCTTCCTGGAGGATGCCTGGATGATCCGGCTGCAGCTGCCTGCATTTCCCAACAGATGGTATTTTGGATGGGAAGGAACTCTTAGATCGGGCTGGCCTGGCAGAGGGTAGCAGGGTTATTTTTCTTTGGGTGTTCCAGGAAGGACAAACTGTGAGGCAAACGCCTGCTATTCTTCCAAAGTGGTGTAGCTTTTGTATCTTATGTTGATTTAGTTTGTAAACTAATCCTATAGAAATAAGATAATTAAAAACTAACTGGGGGGGACTGCTAGGACTCAGGTGTTAAGGATTTTAGCCTTAATTGATAGACTTAAGTCATTAAAGAGTTAAAGAGTTTAGCCTTAATTTATAGGCTTAAGTGATTAAAGCTGTAAGTGACTACTAAATGGAAAGCTCCTCTTCCAAAATTGTGAAACTTTTGAATAGACTCCTTTCTTCCATCACCAAACCTTTGCCTCCAGAATTTTGCCTAGACAGAGGCAGCGGACCGCACTTGCTGTTTGGTAACAAAAGTAGCCTTTTATAATAGGAAGCTTTCTTTCTTTCTTTCTTTTTTACTTTCTTTTTTACTTTCTTTCTTTCTTTCTTTTTTTTAACCTGTTTCTTATTTCTGGACGTATGCAAACATATAACTACATTTGAGCATTTTAACTATATTTTCCTTTTCATTTCCCATGTGTAAGGATATTTGTTTTCCTTGTAGGTGAGCAAATTGGGAAGATTATTCCTTCAAGAAAATATAACTATTTAAATACGTTTTTCCTAAAGAGATGTGCCTAGGTAAACATGAAAACATGGCTATATTGTGACTATTAATTTACATTCCTGATTTCACAAACTGTCACATTGCTTTCTGTAAAGTTTGAGGAATTAGAATACAGTGTGTAAAGGATTTTATTTATAGAAAAGGGACATAATATGTGCTCTATCTCCTGCACTTGCATGTGATTTTTGCATTACAAAGCACTTTCACATACATCGTCATATTTGACCCTCAGACAAACCCTATGAAGATGATTATTCTCACTTCACAGATAAGAATTCAAAGGTTCATGAGAGGTTATGAGAGAGGCTTAGGTCTACTCCTAGAGTTCCTAAGTCTGAGCTCCTCACCCAGTATAACTTCTCTTTTGTAAAGCAAATCAAAGGATCAGTTGAAATCTGATTATTCTTAGGATGTGATGTAATTTTTAACACATTTTCTTTTTAGCTGAACTTCTTTCCTTCACAGTTTAAATCAAATGCACTTGAAATGAGGCTTCATAGACTGTTTTGTATACCCCCTTTCCCAAATACTGCCTAATAATGACAGGAAAGATTCAATTAAACGGTATAGTAGAGTGTTATTGGGAACAATTATTTCTTAATGAAGCTCACTGGATCATACATCTAACCAACACCTTCTGTTTGCCTGATTTCCCTATCTCTTCATCAGTTAGCTCTGAGCTTACCAGAAGAAGAAGGATGTGATTAACTGGGCCCTTTCAAAGCTCAACATATGAAGACCCAAAGAGAAAAATATTTTTTCCTTTCCAGGAATACATCCAATCTTATTTATATCAGACCTCCATTATATTTCCAGTATTCTATGGTGCAAGTTATGACTGCACATTTTGGGCTAATAAAATTTATATCATTTCTTTTTATTGTATTATAAATATAATATCTTTTCCTTAATGTTACAGAGAGAGTGATTATCTTAAGGTATGTTTAGTGGAGTTTGTTCTGGTTTTTTTCTGTTAGCTGCTTTATAAAATACAAGCAGTCATGCTCAATGTGTATGTTGGAAAAATCTGAAAATATCACAAGATATCTACAGTTTAACAGCTTAATAGCATTTGAACCATATAAAAAATTTCACATAATTTGAGACACCAGTTTCTCAGAGAAGTGAAAGGCATATCAAATTTTTTATAATTTATACAGATTACTATATAATACAAATCTTATTCTTCTTAAAGAAAAGTTTTTACTTATTTATAAATATGATTATTATAATATATAATGCAATTAATAATACATGAGAAAATAGGCTGATTTTTAGAATTTCCATGAAGAGAAAAGACCCACAATTAAGGTATTTTCCAGAGTGGCAGAAACAATGATATTTAAACTGTAGAATTATAAATTGCTAGAACTGGAAAGAATATCAAGAACAACACATTTTTTTTTTTACCCATTTAATACTGGGAATGCAAAAAAGGAATCTTTGGATTCAGCTAGATCCAAGAAATTTAAGAGTTATCCCAGATCATGTGACTAATTAATAGAAAAGCCTGGATGGGAATCATGAATTCTGTTCCAGCATTCTCCCCACTCCCCAACCCCCCGGCTATTAGACTGCCTCATATTCAAACTTCATAGTAACTTACAAACTTCAGCATAGTGTTTAAAACACTCCATTAACAAATATTCCTCTTACATTTCTGTTTTATGTTTATACCCTTTTGGGGGGAGAAAAGATAATTGAGACTTCATTCTCAAATGCTAAATAATCCCCATGTTTTCTCCCAAAATACATTTACATACATTTATATATATTGCATTCATATATAGATTTTTTCATTCTTATATTCTCCAATATCCCTCCCTTGATAGTCTTTTCTTATTGAAATAATCAGTAGTTAATCAATTTTTACTGCTTTTGCTTTTGATTTATAGAATCTGTCTGTCCAACAAGAATTCCAGTGGCAGCTCGAGATGAGAAGGGGTTTGATATTCTTTTAGGCTTGGGTGTAAAGAAAAAAGTTAAGAAAAGAATCCAGCTTTCTCCAACAAAGATAAAAGGATATGAAGTAACATCAAAAGTTGATTTATCAGAATTCACAAGGTAAATGTTATGTGTTGATACAATTTTTTTGGTGTATCTATAGGTGTGTTGGGAATTCTTTAAGCTTATTCATGTTCTTCTTTTCCTAGCAATGTTTTCCCAGAAGGTCTTCCTCCATCATATGTATTTGTCTCCACTCAGAGATTTAAGATCAAGAAAATGTGGGATTTGTGGAGGATTTTAACCATTGATGGAAGTCCACAAATAGCAGTTACCTTAAATGGTGTGGATAAAACATTACTATTTACCACGACCAGTGTGATTAATGGCTCACAAGTGGTCACCTTTGCTGACCCTCGAGTTAAGGTAAAGATGCCTGGATATGATTATGGTATTCATGAAGAAACACTGTTGGGTTTATGTGTATTGGGAGGAGAGAGCTATAATTTTAACATGACCTAAAAGATATCAACTTCACATTTTAATGTTGCTTTACTGAAAAAGCAATGAAGGAAGGAAAATTGTTTCTTAATGCATAGGGAATTTAGGGGTGGGGGAGCTAACTTTTTTTTGAATGTCTACTACTAGTTGCCAGGCACATTTAATTATAATAACCACTCAAGGAAGAACCTGTTGTTCCCATTTTGCAGAAATGGAAACCAAGGTTCAGAGATATTAAGTTCCTACTCAAAGTAGCAGAGCTAGTAAGTGGTGACAATAGAAATTGAATTTTGGTCTGGTCGTTTTCAAAGTTTCTATTGGTCTGTTTCACATTGCTATGTCTTTACAGGATATTGAAATAAAGACAGTTGTTAAAATACTCAATACATGCAGATAATGGATGCAGAGTTCATATTCAATATGAGGGTATTTTATTTCCCTTAAAGTGGTAAATTTAATGAAATCAATAAACTAAAAATAAAAGTGTATTCTCTTTCAAGTCATGTTCAGAATACAGATGTGACAGTAACAGCAATTAAGTTTTAATCATTATTATAATTATGAAAGTTTAATAATATAGTAGATAACTTAGGAAATGTACAAGGTTATATATGAAATTGTACATTTACACAATATTTCTTCATTGGTAAAAAGAAAATTTAAATTTGTCGTCTGCCATTTTTACTAATGGCAATGTGCCAGATTCTGTAAAAAATGACAAATGACTAAGCCATGTTTCTTACCTTCAAGGAACTTATTTATAATGAGAAATTAAAGTCTTCCGATATCTAGTGGAAGTATACCATGTTAGCAGAGTTTGGAGGGAAAAGTGGATTCTCATACAAAATGTGAGAAAGTCTTTATTAAATAAAATGGTTTTTGGACTGATCTTCAAGGATTTTGATATAGCGAGATAAAGACACATTAAGTCAATGGTTCAGTACTGAGTAGTCAGGTGTAGTACAATTCGGGGTTTTTATTTAGAGAATGGAAATCTGTATCCCCTGTGTTTGGAGTGCAGGATACATGGAAGAGGCTGCAAGGTATGAGCTCAAATTGTGGGGAGTCTGAAAGCCCTACAAAGGATTGTGGACTTTATTTGGCGGGTGACGAGATTCCATTTAAAGGTCTTGACCATAGGTGTGCAATGGTCAAAGCAACTCTCTCCTCTCTTTCTTCTTTCATAAGCGATACTTTCAACCCTGTCTTGCAATTGTGTTAGGTCCTGGGAATGTAGAAATTGGGATGGGGCGTCTTCTCTGACAAAACTCTAGAGAGGTAGGCTAGTGGAAGTATGAAGGACAGCACAGTGAAGGAAGGGTTAGAGATAGAGATATGTTTGAACATTATTTAAATAAAACAAGATACTCATGAGCCTAAATTATGGCAGCAAGAATGGACATGAAGATGTGAATTTCAAGCATGTTTAGGATACATATTTGGTAGAACATTGCATCTAGTTGTTATTGCCACTGGGGGAAAAAGGAGGTAAAGAAACTTGTTTTGATTTAGAAACTGAAGATACTATGATTTAAGGGAGATAGAGATGAGAAGAAAGTTTGAGGGATAGTTCAAGTTTGTTTTGTGACATATTCTGTCAGACTGATTATGAGACATCCTGGCAAAAACTATTCTAGCCAGTGTTAGAATTATAGGCATCATATGTAGATGTAAATATGGGAAATTTTCCCATAGAAGTAATAATTGACTTGCAGTAATGGATAAGATAATCAAAACAGGATAATAAAAAATGTCAAGAACAGACCTATGGGGAATGCCTCATTAAAGGGGAGGTTGAAGAAGAGGGGTCCTCAATAGTATGAGACATTAAAAAGGAAATGAAAATAATCAAGATGGTTTGAATCATGGAAGCTGAGTAGGAATATCAAAGAGGGGGGACTAGTTATGGAGTCCAAAGTTGCAATGACATAAAAAGGATGAGGAATGAAAAAAACCATTTGGATTAGAAGATTAGGAACTCACTTGTGACTGAGAAGAAGTTGTTTGACACAACCTCTTTGGGATACGTAATAGAAACTCTAGGGTTTAATAAAAAAATTGGTGTTAGCTTTTGAGGCTCAGCTTGGGTCAGAGTGAATTTGTTTATACTACAGCTGATTTGTGTAGCCTAGATCTATGGTTGGCAGCAAAGGAATAAGAATTAAGAAATAAAAGTAAGTTAGGAATTGTAGTTATGGATCTTTGATGCTTTCTTCCTACAGACATTGTTTGATGAAGGCTGGCATCAAATTCGTCTCTTAGTAACAGAGGAGGATATAACTCTGTATATTGATGATCAACAAATTGAAACCAAACTGTTACATCCAGTTTTAGGGATCTTTATCAGTGGGCAAACCCAAATTGGAAAATACTCTGGGAAAGAAGAAACTGTTCAGGTGATTAATAATGATTTGCTTTTTCTTGCATTGTATAAAATGGAACTTTTGCTGCCCTTTCTGTATTTAACTTAACTGTGAATTCCTTTAAGATACTTAATCAAAATATGGTCAGTTCATTAGTGAAATTGTGTGTTTGTGTGTAATATGAAAATGTAAAATGAGATTTAATCTGTTTTATAATAATAATACTTAGCAAAATGTTCCCCTGTGTTTGGGGTAGAATTGTATATTCTAATGAAACATTAATTTCTTATTTCCCAGGAGAGGCACAGATTAAATAATGAATTTGAAAAAGGGAATGTGATTAGAGCTGTAAGTGGCATTATAAATATTTCTTTGCAGCTGTGAAGATAAAATTAGATTAATGGATGTCAGGGTTCTACATGAATAAACTAACTTTTTCAATATTTCTTTATAAAGTGTATCTACATGTGAGTTGACAAATGTGTATATAAAAGCCATTTCTTATAAAATCCTTTACTTGAAAGGTATGTCTTTCCTACTCTGTTTTTATTAAGGGAAGACTCACATTTAAATGTGTGATTACACACATGGTCTCTATATATTAATGTTACATGTCACATTACAGTAAATATTTAAATTGTAACAGATGCTGGGCCTACTATGACATTCCATGCCAGTAACTAAATATCTGTAACTAAAGATGGTTCTTGAGCCACCTATTTTGAGTGTCCTAGGAAATTGTCCTAGACTAGCTTTTAATATAGGATATTAATAAGTTTCCCTTGGTTCCTGAAGGAAATCAGAGATTTCTGTTTGGTGCTAGGGAAGTTTTCCTTAGGAGTTATATTGCATCATATCTTTAATACTATATGTGAGGTATTCAAGTTTTATATTCAAGTGTTAGCTGAATGCTGTGATTTAAACTTTCCGTAATTGCTAATTATAGTGGATGTTTTTGTGTATCTGAGTTGTTTGTATAAAACAATTACTGTGTGCCTCAACTGTAACTTGACTGGGTTTATGTTCCTAGTTTGATGTCCAGAAGTTGCGAATCTACTGTGACCCAGAACAGAACAACCGGGAAACAGCATGTGAGATTCCCGGATTTGTAAGTAGGATGGATTATTTTTTTTCCCAAGTGCTGCTTCAGTAATATCAAAGAAATAAATAAAAAGCAGATCATATGTGAGCCTTCATTTAATATATAGTCAATTTTTTCAATTTTCAAAGGAAGTAAAGTTTCATCGATTAAAACATATTTTGAAATTCTTAATTGAAATACAATTTTAATGTTTTGCTGTGCAAGTATGAATGAAAGATCACAAGAGACTGCTTTTCCCACTTCATCTCTGGCTGTGATTGTTCCACTCTCACTTGAAGCAGGACTGGGCTTGATCTAGAAAAACATAGGATTTTTTTGTCTGAATATCTAGTGTGTAAAATACTTTACTATTTTTAATTAAATGTATAATTAGTATATTAAACAGCGCAATTCTGGAGTAGGAAATGATTCATTTTCCTCTTCACCAGCATGTTTTCTCAAAAGATAATGAACATATAGTTTTCCTTTTGTTGTTACCTAAGTAAGGTTTTCTTATATTTCTAGGATATAAGTAACATTTCTCTTTATTTAGCTTTATTTAGTAATTTTCATTACTGTGTTACGAGGGAAAAGATTATAAGCTAAAATGTTACAGCGTCTGATTATATACTTGAATATATATAATCAACCTCTTCTCCTCTAGGCAAAAAATGGTATGCAGTATTGCTGCTAATGCAAGTAATTTGGAATGTTGTAAAACTTTTTGACGATGTGGATTCCAAGTTGTGTTTGAGCTCTATGTGGTTTTTTAATTTGTACAGTCATGCTGTTGTAATCTCCTTTTTCTATGTTAATTTGAATAATTTACAAATCCACATGTTCTGAAATCTCGAGGACATAGAGCGATGTAATTAATGGATCTATTATTAAAAGATGGAACCTTTTAGAAATGATTCATTATGGGTATTCTAGATAAGTAATTGTTTAAGCAGTATAACTTTTAGATACTTGTAACTTGGAATATAAATCTCTACTAAAAGTATTAATAATGTATTTTGAGAGTCCATTGTGCATAATTTATTTATTGAGTTATCTGCATCAATGTTATAATCAATTTCCCTTTCATATAGCAAAGGCATAGCATTACATGGCAGGTTTTGAATTCTCATGTTCAGTGTTTTGTGTTTTTATGTTTCCTTCCTTACTCTCAGCTGTGACTTCATGTAGCTTGTTTGCATTTTGTACCTTCATTTCCCCCTTCTCATTTTTTGATATGATATATTATTGTTTGGAAAGATTATTAACTTGTCTCAAATTGTATGTTATTCAGTAACAAAGAGATTATTTAGGGAGAAGCTGTTCTAGAGTGCATAAAATTTAATTCTTGCAGTTTATGGCTTGGTTAGATATGTTTTGGCTTTTTCTGTAGTTCTTAACTGATTTCCAGTAAGTTCAAGACAACATATAAATCCCATGTTGAGGTATTTTTGTTTCTTCATGGCCATTATATTAAGCAGCTTTGGCATTTTAATTTTCTTCTCCTACTCTTTATTGTTAATTTTATTTTTTATCCTACTATAAATATAGTAATAACATATATAAATAAGTGATTTTTTAGGATAGTTGCAAGCAAACATTTTAGCTCTTGCTGATTTTGATATTTTAGGCATCTCTAACCTAGACAATGAAGTATCTGAAAATTAGGAAGATAATTTTGAAATTTAATTAAAAACATATTTTCAAACATATTATTGTTTTTCTTTCAGAACGGTGAGGTAGGCCTGGTTACTATTGTTCTCCTTAAGGTAATATTTGTATTGTGGGACTGTTTAGCTTCCTTCCATCAACTGTAAGTATTTTAGACAAATTATACCCACTTTTTTATGGAGTTTGAGTATATTTTGTATTCATAGCTTTCTGTGATTAGGAATTTCTTATTAGATTAGGCTAAATAAAATTGGAAAATAAATGTAAGTTATCCTCATCATTTCACACACATACATTCATATATATGTACTTTTCCATGCTTGTTTATTTCAGTTTTTGTCTTTGTAGTGCGCCAATGGTCCCAGCGACGTAGGTTCAACTCTAGCTCCCTGTATTTGTCCTCCGGGAGAACCAGGACTACAAGGCCCCAAAGTGAGTGATACTGAACATGCTATTTTTTGTTAAAACACACAAACAGGAGCTGAGCAGATGTGCAGAATTCCAAAGCACTATTGACCCTGTTGTGAAATTTTCATCTAATGTTTTAGAACAGTTTGTAATTTGAGGGTTAGTGATTTCTTAAAAGTGTATTCTAATCTGTATTTGCTTTTGAACCTAAAACTGTTACCCCTAGCCTACCATACAGTGAGGAGGGAGCATTATTACTTAGTGTGCCTGTTTTCCTCTTTCCTGCCTCAGGGCCCCTCCCCCTGACCCCCATTTCACCCCTGCCCAACACAGCTGCTAGATCCAAAGAATGACTCTTACCACCTGGTACAAAATGAAGAAAGAGCACTTGTTAAGATATGCTTTAAATTCTTAAATGTCTAAATTCTTAATTTGTCAAAAAAGATTTTCTGATAGAAAAATGAAGTAAAAAATTTAAAATTTTGATTTTAATGCTATGTCGGATATCTAATTCTAAAAATAGTGGTGTATGTATTTATTTTACTTAATCATGTATTAATTATTTTGGGGAAGTATGATTGGAGCCATGATGTGCATGCTGTTTTTAACCAGTATTTTTTATATAGCATAATACTTTAAATATGTTCTTATGTAGTTAAATATGAATAAGTTTTTAAGTAAGCTGATACTCACTATAGCATCTTAGACACATCCTAAGATACTAAGTTAAGTGGTCTGTTCTCTGTAGATAAATCTAGTTCATTTAATGCTATTTTAGTAAAAGTCACCTAATAAAAATAATGTTTAACTTCAAAGAAAATATGACTTCCTACCCAGAGAGAGTGTTTTGTGTATTAATCATCTGTTACTTGAAGTGACCATAAAATTTTGTTGTAAATATGAATTTTCATACTGTTTCCATCACCATGACTGAAAAGTTTTAGGTTCTGGACTACTATGTAAGATAATTTAATTCTTTCTATTTTTTGGTACATGTTTCTTCCATCCATTTTCATATGATTGTTCATAACATACTTCAAGCCTAGCTGTTGAAATCAAGAAAAGAAATGGAATTTAAGAAATAGAAGTTTACATCCAATATTTCATTCAAAGTAATGGCTTGGCATTTGACTTCAGTACATCATAATCAGTTTACTATTGCAAACTATTTTTAGATTGCATTTAGAAAAGTTAATCTAAGAATTCTTTAGTTAAACTAACTGCATGTTGTTTAGGATGCTTAGGTATAAATGAGAAACACCTGTAAGATGCTCCCAGGAGAATATACCTTGTAAGATAGCTTGGTGTGACCTACCAGCAGACTTCTTTTTAAAAATATATTTAGGTAGTTTATAATACTGGAATATTACACCTATCAATGATGTGATGTGCACGAGATAAAATGTGGAAATCAGAGTCTCATGTTGCCTAACTTCTCAAAGCCCAGAGTGCTTTCCTGACTCTTAGTGGGTTTCCTGTCACTCCTAGGAGTTCTAACTGGCTGTTCACTTTTGAGGAGTTTTGGATGCTTTTGATCTTTTCTGATTATTCATTAGTGGTTCATTAGTTGTCTTCTAACAACACCAATTATTATTCACATATGTTTCTACAACAAATTTTTAGCACACCCTTTGTCTTATCGACTTCCAGTACTTCCAAGTTTCATGTGTTCCTCATTTTCATTCTTCTTTCTTAGTCATAATGTAACCCCATTGCCACCTACTACTTTAAGTGAAATTGCAGTTTTCCACCGTCTTTAAGCTGGCGTGCCTTCTCGATCTGCTTTCCATTTTCTTCAGAAAATCTGGCAGGAGGAGAGGAACACACACATATTCCTCCATCCTTTTTAAGGCTCTTTCCCCTGGAAGTGGTTCCCTACCCACATCAGGGACCTGTATGTGAAAAACAGAATCCCTAGCAACACTCTGAATTTCATGCACTTCCTTTAGAGAAGTTCTGTCTTGGAAAGTTGATAAGAGTTATACTTAGATCAACAGAACTGGAACTAAAGGAGATGAGCCAATTTTCCTATAGATCCAACTGAGACTTACTGGCCATTTTTGTTTGATGCTCTCTGGAAAGTTTTGTAAATATTCATCAAACAGAGTTACCTATGAAAAATAGATCTAGTCTTTTTATTAGCCAGAAATAGAGTTCTAGGAGGTAAGAGTTGACTCATGAGAATAAGAGGAGAAAATTTTTGTATTGATATGTGGGTAAGTGCTTATTCTAAGACAAAGTCGTACGTTAACATTTTTCTAAATTCCCCCAAAATATGACAAACTTATTAAAAAAAAACCAGATCAAATTAACTGATACTAGATACTTAAACTTATCATGACATTACAACTTTTCAATAAGCAAGAAAAAATATGTGTATCTGTTAACTGGATATAAACATACCCATACCTTATTTATTTTATATCCCTACTGTCAAAATAGGAAGTAATTAAATTAATGAACCTATTGGAATAATTTTTATATGCAAGTAATTCACAGTGAAAGCAAATATAAACTAAATTCTTTTTTATTTAATGAATTATGAAATCATTGAAAAAATAAGATTTGCCCTCCCCCATACCAACTTACATGGAATGCCTTTGGTCTATGTGAATGGTCCAGGCAGTCTTCAATTTACAAATATCCTCCTTTTAAAAGACCTTTCCATGCAAATGGCAGCTTCTTCCCTCACTTCAATAGCCATAGGAACATTTGGGGACACACTGTCCACAGTTGATCTAACCTTAAACATTAGATATATTAGTTTGGAAGTGAAAAGAAAGCATTTGTCTGTTATTTAGAAAGGAACAATTCTTAATAAGTTCTGTGCTTTGAAATGCCACTCTCTCTACAACTATATCCTTGCTAATGCCCTTTGTTTCACCCTAATCTACTGCATAGAGATTCATTTGGACTATCAAAGTATCTACTCTCTAAAATACAAAAAGCCTTTGGAAAATTTCCGAGGCCCCTGGGCATTTACATTTTTATATTAATTTTTCCAGACAAAATAGATTCCTTGTCGCCTAGGAGAGTGGGTGTTTGAGTTTTGAGGGATGGAAGAGGCTGATTTTGGAGAATGGAATAGGTCTTAGGTTAGATCTTTCTAAAGAGGCCAAAGATATAATGAAGGCACAAAGATTTTGAAAAAAAAAAGGGGCTTGATAACATGGGATTTGCTCCTATGTGAAGAGTTCCAAATACATTTGTTTCTGATGAGTAACTTAAAGTATTAGCTTGCTTTTGCAACCATGGCTATTTTTTTACTTTAATTATTCATGTTTATACTACTTGAGAGGCTCTATTGAGAGATGTTTTAGCTTAGTCCATGACATTCCCACTCCTGTCAACAACTCAAAAATCCTATGGCACAAGTTCAGTTCAACATAAGTAAGTATTGCTTTTAAACTGAATACATATTATTTTTTAAAAATCACAATGTGCAGATATTTCAACTAAGAAGAAAGTAGATTGGGAATTTAGTCACAATTGTACAATAATAAGTTGTATGTCTAATGTAATGTATTTGGAAATTTTTTTCCACGTTCAATTTGCCAGCAGTCCCCAGGTCTGGTTCTGATCAGTGTATGCATTTTAATGTGGGCAGGGATAGTGGTGTTTAGGAACGTGGATTCTGGAGCTAAACTGGCTTATTTCAAATCCATCTCCACGACTGCTCTGTGAGCTTGAGCAAGTTACCTAACCTTCTTGGGCTTCACATTTCCTGCATATAAAATGGGAATGATAAAATTACTTTCTTTGTGGAATTATTGTGAAGATTAAGTAATTTAATGTATGTAAATTTTTTAAAGCAGTTCCTAGCAGACAGTAATCAATCAATAAAGGTTGGGTGTCAGCTTTTATAACAGTTGTAAAATTGAATTTTTATTCTAATTGGCCATCTCTCCAAATTTAGTTAAGGTTTTATTTTATTCTTTCAATTTCATGGAGACAACAGCAAATCTACCTGAGTTTTTTTTCAAGTAAATCAGTAGGACAATAGTCAAAGTAACCAGTAAAATCTATCACCAATAAGAAAGCCTGCAAAAAAGATTACTTTTCCCTCATGGGGTTGCTGACCAGTGTCATAAGGACCATTCCTTATGAAGTCACAGTGGATTTATTTTGTGGGTGATTTTTTCCCCTTGAAAACTTGGTTTTGATTAATTTAAAATGTTATTGGTAAGTGTGTTTTGTACTTTTATGCAGCATAAAAATAAATTGTTTCTTCATCTGCCAAAGTTTTATTTCAACCTCATCATAGTAGAGGTTGGACCCTCTCAGGTACTTTTGATGTCCTAGCTTTTGCTGATAATTAATATTTTGAAAGTGAAGGGATCATTAACAGGAAATTTGATTTTATTGGAAATAAGTCAGTCAGCAAATAGTTATTGAATTTCTACTTGATACACAGAATTGTAAAAAAAAAAAAGTAGAAAATATGGACAATGTTTTCAAGGAGTCTAAATCCAAATGATAAATAAAGACTAATCAAGGAAACAGTTTGAGAAAACCTTAGTTATAAATAAGTGATCGGTGATATAAGTGCTACTATGGCATTTCAATAGAAAGAGACATCAGGAGAAAGTGGAGTAATGAGGAAGCTGCAGTGAGGGAAAATTTTGTCATACTGACTCGTACGCAGAAAAAGAAGAAAACCTTCCCAGGAGAAAAGAATGGTGGAATTTTTTGAAATGCAGTGAGTCCAATCTGAAAATGGATGAAGAAGGATGGCAGGGAGGCTAGATATTAATGTGGATCCCTGAAAACAAGAATAAAAAATTCTAGCACTCTTGAGAGCCAGAAGGTTGCTCCCTAATGTCCAGCTAACACTGGAAGTCCTTGGATTAGAATTACAAATTATACCCTTTTAGCAAGACATTAAATGTTTCAGCATTATTTTTCTCCCTGGCTTTACAACCAACCATTCTTTGTCCCTTTTAAAAATGATGTTTTCCCTCTTCTCAGCCTTTCCTTATGCTAAGCTTGCTCCTACGTGAAAAGCCCATTCCTTCTCCATTGTCTACTTAATTGAGATCACATAGTTTTTTCCATTTTTCCCTTTGAGTTTCAGGAACAAATCTCTCTAGCCAGTAGCCTGAAGTAGTATTTCAGACCAGCAAATTTGGCTCTTGAAAGTACCCTAAGTTAATATATAATCACTGGTGTTCTGTGTGAATGATTTCTTGATGAAAATAGTGAAGAATTATTGAGTTAAAAATCAGTTGCCTCTAGGCAGGAATTTATTGGTACTCATGGCTGGGACTTCGTGTTTTTTGGCAAGATGCCCCATGTGGACCTCACGGACTCAGCAATAGATGAAATATTATATTATTTTTGAAATATTTCTTAGAATTTAATTATAAAACACTCTCACCTCACAAAAAATGTTGCTTTCATTGTTTTTTTTTTAAAGGGTGGTGACCCTCTGAATGGTCAGTCCTGGCCATTGCACAACTGTCTAGAGTTCCTCAGAATGTGCCCACGCTCACTGTTCTTTGAAGATCTTTGGTTTGTGAGGGCAAAGGTCATTTCTTCATTTCTTAGGTGTGACATGTGCTGAAAGGCTGTCAGGGTTGGGCAGAATTGTTTGGCTTGGGCCTCACTCTCATAAAAGTATTCAAGTTATAGAATTTCAGCATGTTTGAATAAGATTATAAATATAGGCAAAGAGACACATTGACTGGATTGAAAGAAATGGCTGTTGTGCAGCTTTAAAAGTGAGTCCCACGTGTAAGATCACATGGCGTGTAGACTGTTTTTTAAGTAAATAATTATGAATTGAATTAGTTCATAGGCCACTGATATCCGTAGTATAACATTTAGAATAGAATTAAATCTGTAGTCTTATAAGTGAAATATTGCTATCATTTAAACTATATTTGCTATGATATTTCATAGTTTTTTAGAGTTCTAAAGATGTAGCCAGTTATGAATATTAACATTTTACATCAGTGAAATATACTTTACCTGTTATACCCATTCTCACATAAATGAATCATTGTACGTTTGACATACCAAAAAAGCCTTTGTTTGTTAAGGTGGACATTTAAAATATGGCGTCATTTTTCTAGCCTGCAGTTTAGGACTTTTGTTTGTTTTTAACATACAAAAAGCTGCAAATAATAGAATTGGCTTTGGACTCTGATGGGCCCTGGTTGCGCCAAGATGGTCAGTTGTTTTGTATTGAGAAGTTTTATTTCCTCTCTAGGGTGACACTGGACGGCCTGGGAACCCTGGCTACCCTGGACAGCCTGGTCAAGATGGTAAGCCTGTGAGTACTGAAAGCTTAGTCATCTCCAGTACTGGGATTATAGTGTCAAAGTTAAAATTTCACTGGGCAAAATAAAACAGGTGATGAAGACTCTATTTAAGACTATTATAATAGGGGAGGGAGATTGAAGTCCACTTAGCTAAAACAAAAGAAGGGTGGGTTCTTTCTTGAGTGTGGGGAGAGCTAGTGGAAAAGTACTGGAAAACTGTATGGGAGAGATTGATCAATGGGATGGAGCCAATTCGGTTATCCTGAGCTTGCTCATGTTTTCCTCTGTGAGTAAGCCGTCTGTTTGCTAAGTGGCTCCCATGGAAGTTGGGGTTCCTCCCTCCCACAGAGACTGGGAGATCTGGACACTTACCTTTTTTGGAGACCGCATTTCAAAGGGATGACTCCCAGGTCCTTGAAAAAGACATTTATTGCTAGTTGTAAAGCTAGTGAGAAGGTTTTTGAAAAGACTTATAATCAAAGGGGCAGAAAAAGAATTTACAATTACAAATTTTCTAAAGTAAATGTTCTCAGAAAAGGGAGGTCAGAGCTTAGAGTCAGGAAGAAGCCTGACTAAATGGTAGACAAACTGAGGAAAATACTAAGGCTGGTTTGGTCAATGGAATTAGCATTCTAGTCACTTTTTAGGTATTTTACTTCAAAATTGTATACATCTTTGCTACATTTAAAAAATTGTCCAGTGAATTCTTAGTATCCACAGATAGCCATTTTCAGAAATCCTTGTATATTTTCCCTTTACATCTATGAAAATTTTCAAGTGTTGACCTAAATAAAGAGAGAAATTTTGTCAAGCTCAAAATTGTCAAAAAAAAATGTGTTTATTTGGGAATAGCTGAGAAATTGCATTTTGGGGTACTAAGCCACAGGTGACTCCATTGAGGGCTTGGCATAGGCTGCATTTGTGAAGAGGGAATGTAAAGAGGGGAGAGTTCAGTTATGGTCTGATACAATCATGAACCAACAGAGACCAGCTTTGAAAATACCCCAAGCAGACAAAACCAGTTCAGGCATACAAGCAAAGCTCGATCCAGTCTCTCTCTCTCTCTCTCTCTCTCTCTCTCTCTCTCTCTCTCTCTCTTTCTTTCTCTTTATTTATTTTTAGTACCTTCCCCTTCTTTCCCCCATTGTCCTCTTTCCCCATCCCCTCTGGTCACTTTCAGTCTGCTCTATGTTTCCATGCCTGTGGTTTATTTTGTTCATTAGTTTATTTTCTTGAATAGATTCTACTTAGGTGAGATCATATGGTATTTGTCTTTCACCAACTGGCTTATTTCATTAAGCATATATTCTCCAGTTCCATCCATGTTGTCGCAAAAGGTAGGAGTTCCATCTTTCTCCCTCCCTTTCTCTCTTTCTTTCTATTCTTAATTTCTTAATATTTCTTTCTTTATTTCTATTACAGATTGTTTTATGTATTTTTAAATGTCTAAGTCAATTATAAAATATTAAAAAATTTAAATCCATTATAAAGTTTCAGCAATTAAACCAACATGACACCAGCACAGAAATAATCAAGTAGATCAATGAAATAAAATGAGCATTCTAGAAACACACTTATATATCTAACAATGTAATATATGGTTAAATTGATATTTCATATCAGTGGTTAAAATAAGGCTTATTCAACAAATAAAGTGCATGGACCACTATTACTTGAAATAAAACAAAAATAGAGCCCTGTTTCACACATTATACAAGAAATATTCAGGTGAGTTAAAAATCAATATGTAGAATCTGAGGAGTTCTAGAAGAAAATACAAACTAATATTTTTCCCTGAAGTAAAATATTCAAACCCAGAACCTATAAAGTAAAATATTGACAATGTGATTATATTAAACATTTAAGACAGCACAGTAATATACATATAAAAAAAGTTAAAGGAAAAATAATAGAATGGGAAAGTATTTGCCACACATCTAAAAAGGGGTTAATAGTTGTTTGTTTTTTAGGGGAAAAAATTCTACAAACCTTTAACCAATAAATGGATAAAGAATACAAAGTAGTCATTTAAAGCTTTTTTAAAATAATAGAAATAGGCAAGAAATATACAAAACCAGGTTTAGTTTCAACAAATAATAAATTAACAATTAAAATAACACATCATTGTCACAATCAGATTAATACATATTAAGAATATTGGTAATACCAAGTATTATTAACTGTGAAAGGAACTGGGTATTCATAGACCCTTTTTTCATCTTTTTAAAGCAGTCCTTTTAACATATTTTGCACTGCTGGTTTGGCGGAGGTGTATTCTTTTAGCCTTCTTTGTCTTGGAAACTCCTTATTTCGCTTTCTATTTTAATTGAGAACCTTGTTGGATAGAGCAATCTTGGTTGCAGGCCTTTGGTTGTCTTGACTTGGTTTATTTCCTGCCATTCCCTTCTAGCTTGTAGTGTTTCTGTTGAGAGGTCCACTGCTAGCCATACCGAGAGTCCCTTATATGTTACTACCTTTTTCTCCCTTGCTGCCTTTAGGATTCTCTCTTTGTCTTTGATATTTGCCATTTTAATTATGTGTCTTGGAGTGGGCCTCATTGGGTTCCCCTTGAATGGGACCCTCTGTGCTTCCTGGACTTGTGTGACTTTTTCTCTCCTCAAATTGGGGAAGTTTTCCATCATTACTTTTTCAAACAGATTCTCTATCCCTTTGTCCTCTTCTTCTCCTTCTGGTATCCTATTATACAGATATTATTATGTTTCAAGTTGTCCTGCATTACTCTCAGTGACTCTTCATTCTTTTTTAGTCTTTTTTCCATTTTCTTGTTCTTTCTGGGAGCTTTTTTCTACTATGTCCGGCAGCTCGCTGATTCAATCCTCAGCTTCATCTAGCCTGCTTTTGATTCCTTCTACTGTGTTCTTCAATTCAGAAATTGTATTCTTCATTTCCTCTTGTCTCTTATTGATAGTTTCTATGTCCTTTTTCATGTTGATATAGTTTGCAGTAAGTTCCTCGTAGTTTCCCTGTAGATTTTGGTAATTCTCTCTGAGCTCACTGAGCTCATTGAGCTTCCTTAGAACTGTTATTTGGAACTCAGTATCTGATAGTTTATTTGCCTCTATTTCATTTATTTCTATTTCTGGGGATCCCTCCTTTCCCTTCAACTGGGGGGTATTTCTTTGTATTCCCATTTTTTGTGAAACTCTTCTTTTTTGCTTCTGTTTCTTAAATTGATCTGTCTTGATTTCTTGACTTTGTGGTGCTAACTTCTATGGTAGGAGACCGCTGTTTTTACTTTCTGGATCTGCCTCTGATGATGTAAGATGTTGACCCTTTCTGACTTTAGGCAGTCTGTTCTAGACTTCCAGGAATCTACTGTCTGTAGCTGTCTCCTTCAGCTCTTAATCTAGTCACTCTGCACTCAGAAGGCTGCGTTAGACAGCTCAGGGAAGGGTGGACTCCCTCCTGGGGTCGGGCTTATTGGTTCCTCTCATGCTGCTGCCATATGGGGGAGGAGTCAGCACTGGGATCCTGCCAGCTGCTCTCTCTGTTCTCTCCCCAAAGCTCTCTCCAATCTCTGCTCAAGTGTCTCCACACTTCTCTGTGCCCCCTTTAGTCAGCCACTATCTGTGGCTGCCACTCTGCACTCAGCAGGCGGCTTAGACAGCACAGGATGGGGTGGAATCCCACCTGGGAGTGGGGCTATTGGGTCCTCTGACACTGCTGCCACTCAGGGGGAGTGGTCGCTGCCTGAGCAAGATGGCTGCTGCCATAATGGGGGATGAGTCAGCACTGGGATCCTGAAGGCTACTCTCTCAGTTCTCTCCCCAAAGCCTCCTTCCCCATTCTCTCCTCAGGTGTCTCTAGACCCTGCCCCTGCCTTTGCCAGAGACCTGGGTAAGTGGCTGCAAATAAAAATTTATGCATTGGCTCTTTAAACGGCTCTTTGCATCTCCAGCTGCCTGTCTCTGGCAGAGAGCAACCCTGCCACTTTTCACAGGTGCCTGTTTTCTGTGTACTTTTTGGGCTCTGGTGATGTAGGCTGGAGATCCCTGCTTATGGTTTAGACTCCCCTCTTCTTAGGGGATCCAACTGGCCATTTCAATATCCTTCTGGTGCTGCCACCCAGGGGCGCCCCGCCTTCCTTCTTGAGTCTCTGCCACACTCCTTACCAGTTAGGTTGTGCTAAAGCTGATTCTTCTGTCTCCACGGTTATAAGGCTACTCTCTCGCGATTGTTCAGTTGTTTGTTCCAGGTGATTTCTCTACAATTTAGTTGTAATTCCAGGTTGGTCCTGGGAGGTCAGTGTGACTTCACTCACTCCTTTGCCATCTTGATTCTCCTCAATCCAGTCAATTTTTATTCATGCCTCTGGGAATTATGAACAAAACTTCCCAAGGTTGGTATCAGGCAACCCCTGACTAGTTCCCTATCATTTAAGAAAGTTCTGACACCCTCAACTTTCTGTAAATCAGGGAAATCAGTTTCTGAGTCATTTAAGTTTTGTTTTTCTGAGGGCATCTGCACCAGATTTCTCATATCTTTTAGTTCCATTTTAGATAGAAATTCTTTCACACAAATTAAAACTCTTCTTAAAGGTTTTATTATTTTCCTAAGAATATCTGCACTGGTTTACACTTATAGTCTGCCTAAAAAATAATATCCTCTAAGGTTCAAGATAATTTAAGAGGCATTTATGAATTAAACATAAACCAGATCCACTTTAAAGCATTTTCAACAAATATTTACAGGTAAGTTACTATCAGAATGTTTATAACAGTAACTAAACATTAGGAATTAGCTTTGAATGTTAAATAATTGTCACCAAAAATGTATCTCCTAGGAGACTTTCTTTATCATTAGACATTAACTGTTGCCATGAAAGATGGGAAGGTTTGTATTATGAGCCAGTTACGTTTGAGCAGTTAAAGAACCACAGGTTTAATGTTAAACCATCAATACTCCCTTAGGATAGAAGAGGAGCTTGTTATGTCCCTAAAAGAGATGCTGACAAATTATAGATAGGAATTTTGAATTCAAGGATATATTT